ACGGGACGAGGACAGCCTTTCTCTGGCCACTAGAGCACTGCTGCTGGCCTGGAACCAGCTGCTCACACCCCACTTGCCCCTCCTCTCTTGCTGTCTGTCACTGAGCCCAGGTGGGGCCCAGGTGGGGCCCAGGTGGGGCCCAGGGAGAACCCTGAGTCATCCTGTGGCCGACAGCTGGGGGAGGGAGGGAAGGCGTGGCCGGGCCCACCCTGCCCCCTCCTGCATGGTGTTAGCCATCTAGGCAGATGCTTCAGGGTCCAGGAGCCTGCACCTGTGTGTCAGCGCTGATTCATTCCTCACACATTAGGAGCCCGCCGCCACCCCACCTAGGCAGACTCCACCAGAACAAGGGGCATGGGCAAGGGTGGAGGAGTGGGGTGGGTCCTCAGAAGGCTCCTCCACCGGAGTTTGGACATCCCAGCCTCACGTCTGCGAGGACACACCGAGCAGAGAAGTTTGGGACACTGGCCTTGGAACTGCACAGGGCTGAGTCTAAAGCCAGGTTCTTCCACTTACTTAGGGAAAGTTGCTTCTTCTTTTTGGCCCATAAGTTTGGATTCATCCATTATCGAGCACCTACTATGTGCCAGGCATTGTACTACGTGCTGGGAATAAAGTGATGAGCAAGCCAGATGTAGCTCTTCCTTTCCTGGGCAGTTATGGAGTAAACAGACCCTCAGAAATAAATGTATAATTCAAACCTGGGAGAGTGCTCTTAGTAGGAGAATGGGGACCACCTAACGGGGTGTGGCCTGGTCTGGGAGACCAGGGAGGGCCTCCCAGAGAAAGAGACCCTTGAGTGAAGGGTGCGTAGGAGAGCGCCAGGAGAAGAGCATGCTGGGGGAGGAAGAGACAGGACAGCACGTGCAAATATCCTGAGTGGGGAGGGAGCCCTGTGACTCTCAGGGCAGAAGGTCGATGGGCTCAAGAGCAGAGGGTTGGGTAAAGCAAAGGATTTTGGTGGCAAAAAAACTAGTTCTGACAGAACAAGGTGGTTGGGCAGCTTAAAAGAGCTGACGCCAAAGCATTGGTGTGGTCCCGGCACACCTTGGAGCTGTCTCCTGCCTGTCAGCGGCTCTGTGCCTGCCCTCTGACTTCCTTCGGACCACTTGGGTTCTCAGCCCGTTCACCTACTCTCGGTCCATCCTTCTAGCCTGTTGAGGACCCGTTCAAGACCGAGGGCCTGTGCTGAGTGGGGCTGGGAGACGGGCACACAGGGTGCAGGACCGAGGTTTCTTCGGTCAAGGGTCCTCCCGTGCTACAGGCAAGACCCCTGCTGCTCTGCCTATCCCGTCATATTTAATCTAACAGCTATTTGAGGAGGTTGGTACTAATTCTTAAAACGTCTTACAGGTGAGCAAGCTGAGGCTCAGAGAGGGTACGCGTGCTGGCCACGGTCACAGAGCCGAACAAGCAGGCGGTGGAGCGGGACTGGTGGTGTAGGGAGTGGGAGTCAGAATGAGCACAAGGCTCGGGGCTCCCTCTTTGTACCCCCAGCCTCACACGCTTTCTGGGCCTTCCTCCTCATCTTGTCTCTCTCCTGGTGCACTCTGCCTCAGTTCCCCCCACCCCAGGTTCCTCCACACCTAAACCAGTAAAGCTTCAAACAGTGTGAGAGCGAATGAATGAATGAATGAATGATCGATCCTCACTGCCTAGTACTAGCCAGGACCTTCCCTTCTTACCTTTCTCTGACTCTGTCTCTCTCTGTCTTACCTGCATTTCTGTCTCTGTGTGTCTTTTCACCCCTTCTCCCATGCTGAGTCACCCCAAAAGTCAGCAGCGTACCTCAAAGGAAAAAGGCTCCCTTTCCCAGCCCTGCCACCAATGGTGCTGCGCGGGGAAGCCCCATCCAGAAGGCAGTGGCCCCGCCCCGGGCAGCTCCTCAGAGCCGGTGCCAGCCCTGTGTCTGCCTGAGGCCAGGCCATTGTCCTGGGCGTCCTGGGCATCCCCTTGTTCCCTGTCCAGCAACACCCAAGCTCAGTGAGGTGGGCCCTGCCAGGACCCCGGGACCTCCAGCGTCAGGGCCTCAGGCCCCCTTAGGGGTGCATCCCGGGACAGCAGCCTGCAGGACCAGCTGGCCACGTGACCCAAACCAGGTCATCGGTGGCCTCAGGGAAGACCATTCACCTGGTCAGGGAACCAAAGGGAAATGAGCCACTTGTTGTCTGTAAAGTTCCCTGGACACATTTGAAGTCCTTCCTCAATAAAAAAAAAGAGCTCCAAAACTAAAGGGGGACGCAGAATTTCAAGGTGGGTCCCATCCCATAAAATGAAAACTCTTAGCTAAGAAAATTTCATGCTGGTGTCATTGGGCTCCCAGCTCATCCCATCCCAGGGAGAGAACAGAGCAGGAGGGACTAAGGCACCAGCCTGATCAGCGCCCGGAGGCCTGAGTACCAGCCTGGGAAGGCCACTGCCCCCCAAGATTAGGAGCCTGGAGGGGACTTCCACCCAGCACTGCCTTTGCATTCTGAGAGGGCGGGGCGGGATCAGCCCTCCCAGATTGCACTGGGGGAAGCGGAGCCGAGGGGCCACGTGACCCACCAGGACGCTAAGCAGCAACTCCTCCTGCCTCCACTAGTCTGCGCTATGGAGTCGTTTTGCTGGTTTTTAGATGGGGTGAGGGTGGGGAGGCAGCCTTGTCGTGGTCCGAGTGGCCGGCCCTGGTCGTGTTTGGGTGCTGGTGGCACTGGACCCTGTGGACGAGAGCAGCAGGACCCAAAGTGTGGGCTCCACTTTTCCCGGTGGGGCATGGTGCGGGGTGGGGAGCCCCAGAGAGCAGCGGGCTCCTTGCGGGACTCTGGGAGCCTAGTCTGCTCTCTTCCTCTGGGGCTCAGTCACACAGGCTGGGACCACCACAGCGCCCACTGCCCGACCGCCTCGCCTCCCGCTCCCGAGCCCACAGTTAGCCCGGTGGCCTCCAGCCGCCATCTTTACCATCAAGCAAGCCCCTCTCTCTGCATTCCCTCCAGGCAGCGACGGCAGCCGTTCAAGGGGCGGGGAAGCTCGCCCCACCACACCCAGGTCTGAGGAATCTCACGTCACTGCATTCTCCTAAAGCAGATCTCCTTTGGGGATAGAAACTGTAACCTGGCACCACCACCAGGGCGGAGTGGTGTCCAGGGGTGGAGACGCAGTGCAGGGCAGGCTGGGCTCAGTCTGCTCAGTGCAGAGCATGCTGCTGATGTTTCGCTCTCTGTCCAGCCCCGTGAGGCCTCTCGAATGCAGACGGCTCCCCAAGGACTTGCTCCCCTTGAGCTCAATGCCCAGCTAGGAGTGCTGGTCCCCAGGACCCAGCGTCCCTGGGGAGTCAGGTAGCCCCTCCTTAGGGTCCTATCACTCCTCCCGTCACAAAACCATCCCCTCCCATTCTCTGAGGGAGCTCCTCCAAACCCCCCCTCCTCCTTAAACACCTCTAAAACTCTAGTCATTCACCTCTGGAGTGGCCCCGCCCCACGCAGACCACCCCTGAACAACTCTTCTTAATGCCAGAACTCGGGTAAAAAGACATCCAGGGTTTTTAGGGATGCAAAGCAGACTCCCCCCCCCCCACCCCCTGGAGTGAAGACAGGGTCAAGAGAAACCAACACCACTGCATTTTTCCCCCCAATAACTCACCCTCTTGGGCTACCAGTTATAGAGCGCCAATGGTGTGCCAACCGCAATACGAAACTCGTTGCCTGCATGAGATCATCCAACCCTCCATCAGTCTCGTGCATGAGGTGTCTTATTCCCCATTTTGTAAGAGAGGATTTTGTCCGAACTGTTTTAGGCTAGTCGGTACAGGAGCCAGGGCTCCGACCGAGGATGTCTGATCCCGCAACTCCGGCTGTTAGCCCCTTTGCCCGCAAAGACTGCATCTTGCTTTAACCCCAGTTCCACCCTTGGCTCCTCCCACAAGCTTCATTCACGCACCTTTTCCCCAGCTTGGGGCCATGAGCCCCACCCATGCCCGGAATATTCACTATCCACTCAAGGGAAGTCCTCCTTTTCCCCCTCCTTCTCCAGCCCCCCAAAGAGGGGGGAAGGCACTCCCCGCTAGAGGAGGCTTCTGCAGCCCTGACGCTCAATGGACATTCCCTTCATGGATTCTCATATCAATACCCAGAAGCAGGATGCATGCTTACTGGGTAACTGGGGGAACGGAGGCTCCCCAAGATCACAAAAGTAATGCAGAACAGAGCCAGAGTTAGAAACCACCAGGTCTGTTCCCAAAGCCTCTGAAAATGGGCTTCTCCCGGAGAGAGAGCCTTCGCGCACAAGAGGGAGCCGACCTAGTGTTGCTCACACCGCCTGCCCTGAGCCCGCCCTGTGCCCGGCACTGTGCTAGTGCCCTCCCACACATTCTCCCGGAAAATCCTCCCAACAAGCCCGCAAGGAAGGTGCTGCCATTCTGCCCACTTTTCAGCTGTGGAAACTGAGGCCTGGAGATGCTAATCAACTTGCTTTATGTCAACTGAAAGCAGTCAGGACTCACACCCAGCTCTGGAGGCAAGAGCAGGTGGGGTGACGGGACACAAAATTCTCAGGGAAGCAGGAGTTCTTACTAGGTCCCCAGATTTCCACTGAAGAGCTTTAGGGACCTACGGACCCCAGGAATTGTATACAAATGTGTGTATGCTTCTCGGAAGATGAAAAGAGAAGATCTATAGCTTCAATATATTCTCAAAGAAATCCCTCATGATAATCCCTAGCACAGTGCCTGGCATACGAAAGAGACTCAAAATATCTGGAGAATGAATAGACAGATGAATGAATGAATGAATGCATGTGCCTCCATGCCCTGGGAGACACCACTCATGACCTGGTGCACACTTCCTTCGTCTGCATCTTTGGAGATGGTGAAAGTCATCCCGGGACCAGAGCCCAGTCCTCCTCCAGGCCCTTTCTCCCAGTCCCAGAGGCTACACAGCCAGGTGCTATGATGAGTTTCAAAAAGATGCTTCCCCCGCTTCCCCCCACCCCCACTGCTAACAATGACCAGGCAGAGGCGGGAGTTGTGCAACTCGGACAATGAAGCTTTATTGCGTGCCAGGAGGGGGCAAGGGGGGGCAGGGCTGAGGTGTAAACTGCTTGTGGGGCAGGGGGTGCGTGAGAGGGGTCCCCTGGTGAGATTCCCCGGTGTGTGGAAGGGCGCTTCCTAGGCCTGAGCAATGCTGGGCAGCCTTATTAGTTCTTGCTGCGAATGACCTGCTCGTGGGTGGACACCACCTTGCCGTCGTGCACATCCATGACCTTGGTGCGGATCTGGCGACTGGAGGACACTGGGGAATAAGGGAGAGGAGGCGTCAGCGGCGGCGAACACGCAGTGAAGAAATAAGAAGTGGGGGAGGCCAAGGAGTGGAGAGGAATTGGATGAACTGTCTCCCTGCTCCCCTTTCCCCCGGTTCTCTCTTCATCCGCGGCTCTTGCGCCAGCACTGATGCAACCAGCACACCTCCCTCTCCGGTCAGGGCTCCCTAAGGCCAGGGCAGACTCTGTGTCCTCAGACCCGAGGCTCCTAAGAACTCAGGTGGACCTGGTTCCATCCAGAGTGACCCAAATAGACCCAGATGGACCCACGGCGGACAGAGCCCTGTGGGGTCCTGTCCATGGTGCTGACCACCAGAACCATGCAGTCTGCCGCATGGATGACAAAGGTAAAAAGTGGAAGCCACCAGCTCCTAGCTCTAAGAAGGGTTTAGAAAGGGGGGTTTGTAAGGGACACCGGGTGAAAAAACTCTAGCTCAGTCTTCAAGAAGCCCCTGCCCGACACCCAACGCCTGCTGGGAGACCGGGGGTGGTCCTGGTGCTGGGTGAGGAGGAAGGTCTTACCATCTCTGGACGACTGAGAGCCAGAGGTGAACTGGGAGGAGAGGCTGTGAAGACAGAAAGGGGTGAGATTGTTAAACACGTGGGGGGCGGTGAGTGAATGGTGAGGGGTTGGGCCAGAAGGGAGGGCCGGGCACTCACTGGGCGTCCTCGCCCTCCAGCAGGCGGCGGTAGGTGGCGATCTCCTGCTCCAGCCGCGTCTTCACGTCCAGCAGGATCTTGTACTCCTGGTTCTGCTGCTCCATGTCGCAGCGCAGCTGGGCCAGCTGCTCCTCCACGCTGCCGATCATCTCCTGGATTTGGGCCAGCTGCATGCAGTAGCGGCCTTTGGTCTCCTCTAGGCTGCTCTCCAGGGATGCTTTCTGCGAGGGCGGGAAAGAGGATTAGGGGTCGTGGAGTCGGCCATTCTCTCCCTGTTAGACCTGGGCCCACCCAGCACGGACAGCGCCCCCTACCATGCTGAGCTGGGACTGCAGCTCGATCTCCAGGTTCTGCACGGTGCGCCGGAGCTCGGAGATCTCGCTCTTGCCGCTCTGCAGGGCCTCGGTGTTGGTGGCCACCTCGCGGTTCAGCTCCTCCGTCTGCAGAAAACAAAGTGTCATGCACCCTGGAAAGTCCTGGGAAGCAGATGTCCCAGGTCCCTTCCACCCGAGCGGCACCCACCTTGCTGAAGAACCATTCCTCGGCGTCCTTGCGGTTCTTCTCCGCGATCTTCTCGTACTGGTCGCGCATCTCGTTGAGGATGCGGCTGAGGTCAACGCCGGGGGCGGCGTCCATCTCCACGTTGACGTCTCCGCCCACCTGGCCTCTCATGGAATTCATCTCCTGCACAACCACAGGACAGTCCCCAGGGGGAGCCTCGCTATGGCAGCCGAATGGGCTTCCCCCGTCAGAGGAGTTGCTGGCCTGGACATGGCCCTGGACCATCTCGAGTCCATCCCTTCCCTCCCAGCTCATCTTCTAGGCTGGCTTCTCCAGTTAGCTCTCACCTCCTCGTGGTTCTTCCTCAGGTAGGCCAGCTCCTCCTTCAGGCTCTCGATCTGCATCTCCAGGTCAGCTCTGGCCAGGGTCAGCTCGTCCAGCACCCTGCGCAGGCCATTGATGTCGGCCTCCACGCTCATACGCAGGTTCAGCTCCGTCTCGTACCTGGAAGGACCCCAAAGAAAAGTAGTGAGATGCCCGTCCTGACCACACTAGAGGTTTTGTTCTCTTTCCCCCATCCGCTTCTTCCCATAGCTGGCACCCCCAGTGTGGTTTGGGGAGCCAGCCTTGAAAACAGCACGACACCCATGGATTGCTCACATCTGAACATTCCTGGGGTGGGGGGAGTGGGAGGCGGCAGGGAGCAAGGCAGCTGATCTGATCATGTTACAGGATTCAGGGAAGGGAGATGCCGCTAGCTTCGGTCAACAACAGCACACAGGGCCTCCAAATGCGGCTGCCTCCCAAACTTCAGGGGCACATGGGGAAGTGGGGAGTGCCTTTCCCTAAAACAGCCGCTCCCCAACCTGGCTGTGGATCAGATTCGCCCAGGGAGCCTGTTAAAATAACCGAACCAGGACTCCAAGGGTGGGGCCCAAGAATCTGGCATTTTTATAAGCACCCTAACGGGTTTTCACACGGCCATCCTGACGCCGGTCAGCTCTGTTTCGGGAACACTACTCCAAAAACACCCCACCCCGGGAGTCTGGCCGTGCCGGGCCGCCACTGCGAACTCACTTGGTGCGGAAGTCATCTGCGGCCAGGCGGGCGTTGTCAATCTGCAGGACAACGTTAGCATTGTCCACGGTGGCCGTGAGGATCTGCAACGGAAAAGGGGCACGAGTGGTCAGTCGAATGGTCATCCATCGCTCGCCGGTCTTCACAGCAGCTGGCTTCACACTCTGGCCCGAGGACCCCCTGGTCCCACCAGCCTTCTCCACAGCAGCCTCAAGGGGGCACCTGCAGTCGTCCAGCTGTGGCCCGGGACTTGGCTGACTCGTGGTCAACAGAGAGAGGAAGCAAGAGCCCTGGGCTTAGAGTCCAAAGCTCTTGAGTTCTGGCTGTGGTTTTACCACTGGCCTGCTGCGAAACCTGAGCCAACTCCGGGGGCTTGAACGCCCCTCCAATGAGACCCGATTCTCCACCTGAATCCTGCCCCTGCACAGGCCAGCCCTGCCAGCCCCCCCAGCCAGCACAGACTCCTTTCCAAGCCCCCAGAACATGGGGCCTCGGGGGGAGCTTTCACAGCAGGTGAGACCCAGGTGGTGCAAGGGGTCAGAAAAGACCCCCTCAGGTGACGGGGGAGCAGGGGCCTGGAGTCAGATGACGAAAGCCCCCCAGGATCCTTCCTGCAACGGCTCGGGGGCACCAGATGTGGGCTCGCTGCCACTGCGTCTCTGTGGGTTTTCCGGGCCCGCCCGGCTGTGGGGAGGGCCGACGGGTGCCAGGGCTCATGGGCGGCAGCCGCCACAGCCCAGACTAATGAGCTAATGAACGGTTTGGGTGTCTGGCCTGGTCCCGTTACAGCCTAGCTCCTCCCCCGTGCTGGAGAGCAGGTAGCTGTCTCCCAGGCTGGCAGGTGGAGGGCAAGCGTTCCAGCCTCAGCTGGGAGCCCCTGGGCAGGTCACAGCACCACTCAAAGCTTCTTCCTCCGTAAAATGTAAGGGAGAGAACTCCTGGTCTCATAGGGTCTGAGGATCTGGAGCCCAAGAGGGCGTGAGCAAGGGGGTGGGGGAGACTGTCCTCCCACTGCCCAGCTCTGCCGGGATCATCCAGAGCCAGAGGAAGGCACCTGTCCCAGAAATCTAAAGGTGCTGGTGGCCTGAGGCACCTGTGGCTCCAGAGTCAGGTAGCTGGAACGACGCCTCCGGCTGCCCACCAGGTTCACCCACCTTGTTCCTCAGGTCCTCGATGGTCTTGAAGTAGGGGCTGTAGTCCTTGGTCTCAGCGGGCCGCTGCCTCTGGTACCAGTCTCGGATCTTGACCTCCAGGTCGGCGTTGGCCTCCTCCAGGGCACGCACCTTGTCCAGGTAGGAGGCCAGGCGGTCGTTGAGGTTCTGCATGGTCACCTTCTCGCTGCCCACCAGGAGCCCACCGTCACCACCACCCAGGCCAGCACCGAAGCCGCCACCGCCGAAGCCACCGCCAAAGCTACCACCATATCCTCCACCGAAACCACTTCCCAGGCCTCCACCGAAGCTGCTACTGCTGAAGCCACCGCCATAGCCGCCCCCCAGCCCGTAGCCACCCCCGGAGGAGTAGCGGGAGGAGGACACGGACATGCCCCCGAAGCCGCCGGAGGCCCGGCATGACCCTCCGGCCAGGACAGAGGACATGCGGCTGGAGCCCCCGCCAATGCCCCCGCCAATGCCGCAGGAGCCCTTCATGGAGCTGGAGGAGGTGAACTGGCGGCTGCAGGTGGTCATGGTGCCGAGCAGGGAGGAGGCGCGTGAGCGAGCGAGTGAGTGAGTGAGTCGGCAGAGAGAAGAGGAAGGTGCTCAGTGAGTGGGAAAAGGCTGCAGGTGTTTTATAGTCCTGAGTAGGGGGCGGGCCCGGCACTTCCCGGCCTCCTGGGCTGTCATCGCCCGCGGGCAGTGCCAGCTCCCAGCCAGGTCCCTCCTCTCCTCTGCCTTGTCACGTCTTTCATACTTTACTGGAAACTCATTGTTCGGGGTGTTTTGGGTTTCTTGTCCCGCTGGGCGCGGTTCGCAGGGGAAGGCGCGGGCCTGCGGGCTACGCTTTCCTATCCGGCCCGGGGAGCCAGGGCTGTCGGCAGCCGGCGCGCCGGGCTCAGCCGGCTGGCAGGGAGCAGGGCCTCTGCACCGTCAACGGGGTGCCTGCGAGCTCCCCGTTAACTTCGTGAGACGCAGTCCTCTCAGAGCGAGCCCACAGCTCAAGGTGGCGCCTGCCTGGAGGAGCACCCGCACGGCAAGGCCACGCCTAGCACAGAGATGCCCCCGCAGCGCTGCCATCTATGAAAAGAGACAGGGAAGTCGGGGGCCCTCCCAGGTCTCACTTGCTGGACTTTGCGAGGGACCCGCCACATCCCTGAACCATCCCAGCTAGTCCCTCGGCTCAGGCCTCCCCTCTGACACCCCCGTGGAAGGGAAACCCAGGCAGCCCTCCCCCGCCCCCCACCCCGGGCACAGACTCCAGGAGCCTCCACACACCCGTGGACAGACCCACGGCGCTGGCCACTCAGTCTGGCCTGAGGCCAGGGGCATCACGGGCCCAGCCAGAGGAGGCACCGGGCAAGCGCAGGCAGCCGGGGAGTCTTGGCCCTGCCATTTACTCCCGCGTGACCCAGGATCTGACATGTCTCTGAGCTTCAGTTTGCTCATCTGTGAAGTGGGAGCAAACCCCATCCACTCTGCCTACCGCAGAGTCAGCTCCCAGAAGCCAACTCAGCAGTGTGTGTGCAAGGGTTCTGTATGCCCAGTGTGGCACAAAACTGGCTGGCACTGTCGTAGCCCCTTCTGGGCTCCCGGGAAGGGGGGCAAAGCAGCACCCTTGGGACAGGCCCGGCAGGGCCTCTGTGCTTCCAGCCCCAGGGATCTTCCCAGGCTCCCAGGGCAGCGCTGATGGGAGGGGCTGGCTCAGGTGCCGCTATGAAAGCCCCTTGTGGACCTGGGGGGAGGAGGGAGGGAGTACAGGCACCTAGCAGTACACTCGAGGGCCCCTGACGCCTGAGGCCCTGAGGGCTAGGGGACATTTCCAGGGGCCCATTTTTGTTCTGCCTGAGAGAACTCAGCTACCCCTCGTCTCCCAGACAACCCGCAAACGTACCCCTGCGGTTGCACCCCGCCTTCCCGCCAGCCCCTCAGCCTCACAGACCCCGGGGCACGTTGGAGGAATGTGGTCCTGTCTGGGGCTGCCCGACACGTCCCATCTCCCCAGACAGGCCCCAACAGCCCCCGCTGGAGGCTCCAACGCTCTTCTGATGATCAGCTGCTCCCGCAGGAGAACCAGCGCCTCCCTCTCCCCCGCCCCTCACCGCCGTCGAAGCACATGTCCGGGAGCGGCCCCCACCCCCAACCCGGCCCAGGCGCCACTCACAGGACGATCTGAGACAAACACTGCAGGCTGTGGGCTCCCCAAACCCACAGCAGCGCAGAGAACTCACGAGGATGTGAGTAAGCCGGGGCCCCACCCCCAACAGACACTCCTAATCTCCTTCCACAGAAAGGTCTCCCACCCCGGCCCAGCCCTACAGTTCCCCGCCATGAGCGGGTGCAGTGACTTTGGCTGAGGGACAAATGCTTTCACTAGGAGACATGTTGCTGTTGGCCATGGGTTGGGGCGTGGGGCGGGGGACTCACCAGAGAAAAATGCATCGTCCAGAGGGACCCGGGGAGCAAGAGTGGGTGCACAGCCCATCACCTGTCTCCCTCCACTGCGGGGAAGCACTGGAGGCTCCCCAGAGCCCAGGACACAGGGAAAGGTCTCCATCCCCCTCTCCTCATTCACGGAGCCCAGAATCGGCTCGCTCCTTAGCCCTCCAAGGGGAATTCCGAAAGATAGAGACGGTAGGGAACCCGTGGCATGTAAACTCTTGTGCACAGTCTAAGGAGAGACCTTTGCCAGCCCTCCCCACCCCCACACACCCTGGCACCCCAGCGAGGAACGCCAGTCTGATCTCCCGCTGACCAGGGACTAGAACCCTGACTCAGAGCCTGAGGCCAGCCCTCTGCCCTGCAGACGTGGAACTGGGCACCAATGGCCCAGCCTGGCGCTCCTGACATTTTGAGGAGACAGAGCTTTCTGGGGCAGCAGGAGTTCCTGGGGCGAGGGGGGTGGTCTGTGGTTGCCTGCAGTACCCCCCACCGCTGGACTCCTAGGTGGGCTTTGAACCGGTGCCTTACCTGACCCTCCTCCAGCTACCTGGCAAGGAGGTGCTGGAGGAGCCTGGGGTGGTGCCTCTTGAGGTTGGTGAGTCACGGGCCTGGGGGGGAGACCCATGCCAACCCAAACGGATGAAGCCACTGGGCCAGGCAGCCCCCCCTCCTACCCCCTGAGAGTCTGCATTTTGTGCTGAGGACCAGGCAGGGAGCCAGAGGATGGGACCCTAAGGAAGAACAGGCCAGTCTGAGGGGGGAGGTACAGGCTTGCAGCCCAAGCTAATGGGGAGACAGTCCCTGCCCTTGGGGAGCCCCCAGCCTGAAGGAGGAGAGGACGCACCTCACAATCCCTTACGAGGTGAACAAACATGAGAAAAGGGCGATTCACACGCAGTCCTTCCCTGGGGCTGCCGTAGCAAAGCGCCGCCACTCTGGGGGTGAAGCCACAGAAGGTATTCTCTCGCGGCCCCGGGGGCCAGCAGGCCCGCAGCCTCTGGAGGCACCAGGGGAGAACTCTTCCTGCCTCTTCCCGGCATCTGGTGGCTCCTGGCGCCCCTGGCTTGTGGCGGCGACACTCTAACTGCTGCCTTTGTCTTTAAGCAGCCTTCATCTCCGTGTCTGTGTCTTTTCCTTTCTTCTTTTAAAATATTTTATTTATTTATTATTAGAGAGCAGGGGAAGGAAGGAGAAAGACAGGGAGAGAAACATTGGTATATGCGAGAAACACCGATCGATTGCCTCTCACACGCCCGTGTCCGGGGACCTGGCCCGCAACCGGGGCCTGTGCCCTCCCACCAGGAACCAGACCAGTGGCCTTTCGCTCTGCGGGGCGGTGCCCAGCCCAGTGAGCCACACCGGTCAGGGCCCCGTGTCCTCTTCTACCTCTGATAGGGACCCTCGTCGGATTTAATGCCCCCTCGGGCCCAGAGAGATCTCATCTCAGTTCTCACCACAGTCACATCTGCAAAGACTCATGTTCACATGAGGTCGCTTTTGGGGGTTCCTGGTGGACATGAACTTGAGGGGGACACTATTGAACCCGCTACTCCATCTGACAGATTGGCAGGTATCTCGGGGCAGAGGCAGCTGTGGAAATGTGGTGAAGAGACGGCTGTGCTAAGAGGTGAGCAAGGCCAGTCTGGGAGGCTTCCGGGAGCCGCTTGGAGCTCAAGAGCACACACGGGCCCTGGGGGTGGGCAGCCAGGGGGGCAGAACCCTCAGGCCTCCGGGCCACGCCCCCCACCACCCAGCTGCCCTGGGTCCGTCACCGATAGACAGCTGCTCTGAGCGAGAGATCTGGTTTTCATTTTCCTAATTCTCTATTTGGAAATAATTTTAGACTTTCAGAAAGAGTTGCGCAAGTCGTGACGAGTTCGTGTGCGCCCTGCACCCAGCTTCCCTAGCAGGAAAAGGTCCCGTGAACGTCGTACAATGACCAAACCAGCAACAGGCCTTGAGCCCCAGACCGTGATCAGGTGTCACCCGGTTTCCCACCAACAGCCCTTTTCTGGTGCCTTCTTTCTGCTTCGATCCAGGACTCCGCATTCCACTAGCTGTCCTGTCTCCTTAGACTCCTCCCACCTGGGACAGCCCCTGTCTTTCATGACCTTGACGTTTCTGAAGAGTGCTGCTCACTTAGTTTGTAGAATACCCCTCAGTTTGGGTTTTTCCAATACGTTCGCGTCCTTAGGTTGAGGGTGTGCATTTTGGCGAGAAAACCACAGAAACAATGCCGGGTCCTTCTCAGGCACATGAGTCCCGTGTTGATGGGTCTTATCGGCTGGTGACGTTGACCTTCTTCACGGGGAAGGTGGTGTTTAGATTTCTCCACTGTCGTGCTCCCATTCTCCCCACTGAAATTAATAAACACCTTGAGAAAATGCTTTGAGATGACACAGTTATCTTGTTCCTCCTTACGCATCCACCCACTGGCCCCTATGCCCACTGGTGGGGGGAAAGAGCTCTCAATGCCCAAGAGCCTTGTGTGTCTGGACTCCAGAGGGACTGTGGCTCTCAGGAGAGACTCAGGGTAGGGGTGCCCAGCTTAAGGAAGAACTCTTTTTTTTTTTTAAGATTTTATTTATTTATTTTTAGAGAGGGAAGGGAGGGAGGGAGAGAGAGAGAGAGAGAAACATCAATGTGCGGTTGCTGGGGTCATGGCCTGCAACCCAGGCATGTACCCTGGCTGGGAATCGAACCTGCGATGCTTTGGTTTGCAGCCTGTGCTCTATCCACTGAGCTACTCCAGCCAGGGCTTGGAAGAACTCTTTCTTCCTCCCTTGTCCAGCCCCAAAGTCAGACTGGGCCCCCACAGCCTCCTCTTGTGCCCGAAGACACTCCCGTGCAGGCTTCCCCAGAAGAAGCACCATGCTTCCCTATTCATTAACACCCGCGGTCTTTTCCCAGGCCTCCACCAGCCCCGGGAAGAAGGAGGGGAGAGTTGGGGTCCCCCGCATGTCACAGGTAGAAGCCTGAGGTCCGCAGAGGCTCACCACAGACAAGTGACCAGTGGCCACCCTCCTTGTGGTCCTCAGACCCCCAGGGCCTGCCCAGGGTGGCCTTCTCTCCTCCTGGCCGAGTCCCGAACCCCTTGCCTTTCCATCCCTGTCCCTTCACACTGCCCCTCCCAGCCCCCGTGTTCACCCCTCTCTTCACCGTGTCCTAGCCACCTGTGTG